TTCCCAACATTTCAAAGTGATGTTCTAAGTGTCTGTCCGTCACTATACAGTTGTGCTGTAAAGTCGCCCCTTCGCAGCTACTACCCACTCACCAGTTCTCATCTTCCCACTCCCCAGCTACTCTGCGTACTAAAGTTGCACTGCCAAGTCGCCAGTTCTCCTCTTCCCACTCCCCAGCTGCTCTGCGTACTAAATTTGTACTACCAAGTCGCCAGCTCTCATCTTCCAGCTCCCCAGCTACTCCTCGTACTGAAGTTGTACTACAAAGTCGCGAGTTCTCAGCTACTACCCACTCATCAGTTCTCATCTTCCCACTCCCCAGCTACTCTGCGTACTAAAGTTGTATTACCAAGTCGCCACTTCTCATCTTCCAGCTCCACATCTACTCCGCGTACTAAAGTTGTACTACGCAGTCGCCAGTTCTCAGCTTCCAGCTCCACAGATTGCTCCGCGTACTACAGTTGTACTACAAAGTCACCAGTTCTCATCTTCCCACTCCCCAGCTACTCTGCGTACGATCTCCGCAGAGGGTTGCGCGGGCAGCCGGCAAATCACACTCTCGCCTGCATTTCGCGCACTCGACACGCACGATCTCCGCAGAGGGTTGCACTTTCGGTTGACGCTGTTCGTCCTGCCCTCCGCCTTTAAGAGAGAATTTATAAAGTGGGGAAATGTTTTTTCATTAGGACATCTCCCGTGCTAGTTTTCCATACTCACACTTGCCTACTCATTGCATGCTTGTTGCATGCTTGTATAGTCATTGCATGCTTGCATACTCACGCTTGCATATCATGCTTGCATACTTATACACTTGCATACTTTGACACTGGCATACTTCGCACTTGGATGCTTTCGCTCTTCCAGTGTGTGTGTGTGTGTAAGTGTGAGTGTCGAAGTGTAAGTGTCGAAGTGTCAGTGTTCAAAGGATTTTCCGGAAGAACCCTTCGCAATGCTTTCGGGAATAACAAAAAAGAATACAAACAGCACTATATAAACATCATGAAACAAAGCTGTTTTCTCCTGGATGGTCATGGTGACTGGGGACTGTGAGCCTGGTGAGATCCCTAATGGCCCGCTGATCCGACGGACTACGTGCCGGGCAGTCGACCGACAGCTGGAAGATGGAGAAACGACCGGCAGCCCCTCCATGCCCTTGAGAAAGTCGTTTACAATATCTTTTTATATATTCTTGAGACCCTAGTAGCTTGATCGTTGCTAGTAGTGATGCTAGGAGCCCCTAGTAGCATCCTTGCTCCTAGTTGTAAGGCCAGGAGCCCCTAGTAGCTTTATTGTCTATATTCTTGATTTTTTTTGTGGCAGATTGAACACTGTCACGACTCAGAAGAGGAATTGCTACCAAAACCTCGATGGATCTATGTTCACATGTGAAAGAATCACACAAAATCCAAGACATATAATATTGACCGTTTGAATTTGCTTGTTCGTTTGAATTGCTCCAAAGTTGTTCAACAAACATCGCGATTTGGACCGACCAAAAGCGCTCCCCGTCCCCCGTCCTACCCTTCAAGTGCGCACCCCGTACTGGCGCCTCACAAACTGGCCATGCTCTTGCCTGAACCAGCCGCTGTACTCCGGAGAGTGGAAGGCCACATCTTGCCTCAAAAAGGTTCCATCCCGTAACGCAGCCCGGGAAGGAGGTTGTTGAGTCCAAAAGGGAGTATTGGAAACAACAATCGAAATCAAAAGCGATAGTGTTGCCTTCTGCCAAAGGTTGCACTTGCACCTGGTTTACTTTCACATGCAATTACTTTGCCCAGTGTTGCCATTGTTCTCTATCCTTCTGTTCTCGTCATTCCGAGGAGGTTTTGTATGGTCCCCAGTCTTTCAGGCCTTCTTGAGCCTGCTCAACATTGCATGTGGATTCTTTGTTGCTGCAACCAGCAATACAACCAGCTCAGCGTCCAGGTTGTGTTTTGCGCATCTGCCATCTTTCACACGTCAGGAATGTATTTTTGGGGGGCTTTTCTATTTATGTATATATTTGTGTTGTGTGTGTGTGTGTTTGAGTCTGAGAAAGTCATTTGCGTCTGGGCTGTGAACCCCTGCCTTTGACACTGCGTCTTGTTGATGCCCGACGCCCGGCAGGCTTTCTTCAGATCACCTCCAAGAAAGAAACGAATGCTTTGCAATGTGTACTACAGCCTCCACCGAGAAAAGGAAAATAGGTGAACATGTGTGAACATAGTGCATAAGGAGGTGATCATGGCTGGAAGGTGGAAGAACTGACGATTCATCAGGTCAGGCAGGAAGCTTCATCTTCCATCTAAAAGGACATGAAACCACCCACCGTGGCAAAAACGGAGCGCCTGTGTAGCTGGCTTTCGAACAAGTAATGTCAATTAATGGCGCCTTGAAACCTATTGAGATCCCTAATAGCGTCCTTGCTCCTAGTACGAGTAGTAAGGCCAGGAGCCCCGTTCGTAGCGTCCTAGTCGGCTGCTTCCCTGTTGCCCAGCGCAGCCGCACCATGGGACCCGGCTCGGACGATCGAATTCGGTGGACGTAGGGCACCGAAGAGTAGAGACATCGGTCGTGACTGATCCCTACAATTCTCCCATCAAACACCTGTTCTTCTGTTCCGGAACGACCAAACACATCCAACACCCCTTCAGAACCCTTCAGCCATACATAGCAGTTCCACAAAAATTCCACAAACAAATCCTGAACCAAAGTGGCAACAACCAGTCACCTTTTAGTTGGATGATTGAGTGTCTGTGGGAGTGTCCGCGTGCTCGTTTTCCAACGTGAGAATCTATGCACGTGTGTATATGTGTGTGCTGTGACCATACAGCTGTGGGGTTGAAACCTTACAATAGACAAACTCAAAGTTGAAAAAAAAGTGTCGCATATGAACAAAACACATGTTGACGTAGGCTGTGTGGATGTGTTGATGTTATTGCCGTATCATTTTACACATTTAAATGTATGGGGGCTGTAGTGTCATGTCTGTAACTGAGCAAACTATATAATAACTCACTAAACATCATCCAAGCCATCAGAACCCGACCGGCTTCAACTGCACATCAAGGCATGTTCTCAGGGGTCTCTGGGGACCCTCACAGCGTCGCTGGACATCAAGCATGGTGAGCGAAAACCACTCCAAAGAAGAAGGAGATAGAATAAAGAGCCAGTCAGCAGGCTGCTTCCTACAGATCGTGAGAATTGCTTTGGTGTTGAGAGGCCTTTTTAGTGTGCCCAGATTCTATAGTAGAACGGGTAGAACAAGTTGCTTTATAAATCGTTTGATGTTGTCTTCCCCTCGTGAGCCCGCAATGTCATAAAATACGATGATGATCATCCGAGGTCATCCAAAGAACAACTTGGCATATCCGGAATCAAAATGCAACCGAAGCGTCGTCTGGAGACCTATCTTATCTTCTCTCAAAGTGCGTTGAAAAAACTACCTTCGTTGGCAAAAATCCGTGATGGTCAAACAATTCAGAACTCCAAATTCTTCCACGGGTCAACACAAATGAATTATAGGACGCTACTAGGAGAAAAGGGCATCGCTACTAGGAGCAAGGACTCTACTAGGAGCTCATGGCATCGCTACTATGAGCAAGGACGCTAATGGGAGCTCCTGGCATTGCTACTAGGAGAAAGGACGCTACTAGGGGCTCCTGGCATCCCCACTAGGAGCAAGGATGCTTCTAGGACCTCATGGCATTGCTACTACAGTAGGAGCAAGGACGCTACTAGGAGCTCCTGGCATTGCTACTAGGAGCAAGGACGCTACTAGGAGCTCCTGGCATCGCTACTAGGAGCAAGGACGCTACTAGGAGCTCCTGGCATCGCTACTAGGAGATACTAGGAGCAAGGACGCTAGTAGGGGCTCCTGGCATCGCTACTGGGAGATACTATGAGCAAGGACGCTACTAGGGGCTCCTGGCATCGCTACTAGGAGCTCCTGGCATCGCTACTATGAGCAAGGCTACTAGGGGCTCCTGGCATCGCTAGGAGCAAGGACGCTACTAGGAGCTACTATGAGCAAGGACGCTACTAGGGACTCCTGGCATCGCTACTGATATCGTACTAGGAGCAAGGCTACTAGGGGCTCCTGGCATCGCTACAAGGAGCAAGGACGCTACTAGGGGCTCCTGGCATCGCTACTAGGAGCAAGGACCCTACTAGGAGCTCCTGGCATCGCTACTAGGAGCAAGGGCGCTACAAGGGGCTCCCGATGTACTTCAGCAATGCCTTTGACATCCAAGTTTCGGTGGCGGAACGGGGGGTTGACTCATCCGCGAACGATGGTACTACATTGACGCGAGCATCCACTGGTTGTCCCAAACAAGCTATGTGTTATATATATTTATAGATATATGTTTTGGGGGTCTATCGTACTACCAGTAGCAGTGGATCATGATCGTTAGTATCTGCTTTTCTCTAAACTAGTGACAATTGTTTACTGACTGTTACAGGTAAGAACGGACAAACAGACCCACTAAATGCTTACATTATTTGACACTAGTTACAGTAGTGGAACCAATTACGCTGCTTGGTCACCAGGTGTACGGTCACCAGGTGTCCGCAGCACTCGCGGCGTCTCCTGCTCTGCTTCTGTGCCAAGGTGATCCCGTTCTTCTGCAGCCGCTCCTGCGCCGCTGTCGCGAAACAGAAGTTGAAACTTGGCACTGAAAACCTGGCACCCGGGCCACACGGAGTGTGGCCCCTTGTAGAATCAGCTTCCCATCCCTTGTGACAGTCGGTGTCCTTGGACGGCAAATACTCCAAGCCAAAGTACACCACATCTGGCCGTAGACGCACGATTAACTCGAAGGTCACCTGAGGAGATGTACCCCAGCTTCCTGGAAGCTGAGACAATAGGAGTCAATGGAAGTGATCTGAATTGATTGAACAAAATGCCGAGCGCCAGCCCATCCCCACTAAACCCGGCCATCCTTGGGATGTCTGGTCATGGAGCAATGGGGTCCCGGGAGCTAGGATCCTCTTCTCAAGCCAAATATAACATAGCCTACAAAAAGACATCTTTAATATGGTCAGATGATGTTGCACATTTTGGCCAGCAATTTGTTTACTCATGGCTGGTTTTGTTGAGCAGGTGCATCCAACAGCAGGAATACGCTACGGCCAGATTTGCCTGCCCAGGTGGCTTTTGCAGTCCTAACTTAACGTTGTTTGCAACAGCATCAAGTCAGACTATGTCTGCCATTCCATGCGGGCTCCGGAGAGACGGCGGCGCGAAACAAGGAGAGACAGCAGAAACGGATGACTTGGTTGGATGGCAACCGTCACAGACTTGAACCAATTCACAGATTTGTCGAACAATGCCGAAAGAACTTGATGAAACATCATGCAGCATGTTGTTTGATGTCTCTCTTCACTGAACAAACGCTACCCGTGTCCAAGCCGATCTTCATACTGGACACGGGCGCGGTTCACGTGGTGATTTTTGATTCTTCACGTCCTCCTTCGTCATTCGTCATCCAAGTGATCCTTCAGGTCAATCATCCAAGTCGCATTATGCTCTGCCTCGTACTGCTTCACGACATTCAAGCAATGCCAGATCCATCCGAGCCTGTCGGGCCGTGAGAAGTCAAAAAGGCAGCGCGACCGGCGATTGAAAAAAGCAACATGCCGACATGCACACGGGAGAGAACCACAGGTTGAGCACCTTACTAGTAGTAGAAACAGGTGCCACGCTACTAGTAACAAGAAGCTATTAAGCAAAAGACGCCATGACGTGACAAATCAGCTCCAACGCGGCATACGAAAGCCATGATACTTCTTTTTTGCGGAACTTTTCACTTGGAGACTTTAGAGTCTTTAGAGCTCCCAATTTCAGACTCCAAAGGGTGTGGACTAGCTTGTCGATTCCATGCTTGGCGTTCTGTGGGCGCCCGCCGTTCTGTGGTTAGATTGTGGTCAAACAAATTGCCTCCCAAGACTCAACAATACTCAACAGCTATGTTGGAACTGATCCATTTCTTTCTGCACAGAAGATCTCGAATATCTCACTGTTTGAAGGCTCCCTACAAACTGCCAAGAAGCACCACAACACGAACTCCGACCCGCTCAAACCGAACTCCGACTGGACTCAAACTGATTGGTCCAGAGCATCCGACCCAAGGCACTGCAAATAGTTCGAGACCACGTCATCGCTGCAGCAGCTCACATTCGGCTCCACGCTCTCAAACTGCTTGCAGGTACCTACGAATGGAAAGAAAAAAACAACACCCATAAATATACTACACATCCATACACATCCACAGTACATTGAAAGGACAGCAAGGTACAGTACATTTCTACAGTTCTACATCCATTTTAGTTTCTTGAGATCCTTTTGGATGCTCGTGGATTCCAGGTCGTCAAGTAGGACTTGCTGCAATTCCGTCTGCGTTTGGGGTGCAGCTCCAAACGTAGCGAGATTTGGATTTGCATGGATTGGCAACAAATCATGGCAAACCACAACAGCGGTTTCAGAGTAGATGGCACAAACCCCGAGATGTCCTTTGGATGGTGTCCATATAGACCATCTTTGACGGATTGTGCCATCGAATCTGTAACCACTGCAACCATGTCGACCACTTCCCACAGGCAACAGCCCCTAATAGCATCCTTGCTCCTGGTAGCGAGTGTGGAGATCCATCTCCTGCATGTTCCCAGTTCTGCGTGGGCCACTCTTGGTCAGCGTCCGTGAGAGCCCACGTTTCACTGACGGATGTCTTTTTATTATGTAATGGGCTGGTTGCCGAGGTATTGGATTGCTTGTGGATTTGAGTAGACTCTGAGTAGACTCAAACCCATATGAATCCCATGTGACTCACCAAAATGAACATGTTTCCTATGTCCTTTGTTCCAAAGTCAATAAGATCGAGCCTTCCCATTGCCAGGCATACCGTGTCAACTTACGCTCTTGGAACATGGGAGGTGAGCCCTTGGAACATTGGTGGTCTTGATGGTTAAAAACGAAAATATTACATGTTCACTCGCTTTGGAGGGACAGCTGACAGCCCTTCAATAGTTGTGTCTTCAAGTTTAGGAACCAGCCAGACCACTGGAAAGCAAAGAAGGGAAGGGGGCATAGATGAACATGCATCAGCTACTGCATCAGCTTTGGAGTCAGGAGTCATATTCACAAAGCACTTATCAAGGGTATGTGAGATTGCAGACTCGATTTGTCTCACCTGTGAGGAGTCTATTTTTCCGAAGAGCTGTCACTGTGAACTTCCACATGCACTGGCTGCAGAGCGTCCACCGCAGCCTTCAAGGACTGCTTTCCCACCTGGCAGTGCCAGGCTCAAAACTTGCACACCGAGAGCGTTCCAACAATATGTTGTTCCTATGTTCCTCCATTGAAGTAATTGTTTGTCTTCACCCAGGAGCTTCCCTCAGCCCTGCTGTTCCTCTGTTCGACCGGCCTTAAAGGGGACCTGCTTGCGTGTGTCATGGCCCAGTGATGCTGTCTCATGCATCACCAAAAAGACGGTGGCGGGGTCCACCTGCGAAGCCGCTGCCACTGAGTGCCGAAGGGTCCGTCAAAAGCTCCCACTGTTATCTTCTCCATTAGCTTCCATCAATAAGACTTCTTGGAAGATGTGCTGAAAAGGAGGGTTGCTTGTTTGGCTTGATGCTATCTTCTAGTTCTGGCATGTATTACACTACGTGCCTTTCCCTAAGGCGGTTCAAACTTGCAATCTCTTCTTGAAAGCAGGTCTTGCATACTCTGACAGGCCTTGGCCTTGAACTTGAGGATACCTTGATTCCATGCTTCCAGCAAGTTGAGGCTCATGAACTTCAGAAACTTACCTTGTGATTCTCTGTCATGACTACGTACTGAGTAGTGCCTGAACTACCTCATATATCCTCATATGTTCTTTTTCTAGGAGGCCCATGACAACGATCCTGCTAAACAAACCCACAGATGAGATGGGTTTAGCATCTCATGCTTAGGCCTCACCGGAGCCAGTTCGCACATGGTAGAAAACCCTAGGGAAGTTTCTGGCATCTTCGGCGCGACAACTGCAAAGCAAAAGACTAAGACCCTGACTTGAGTACCCTTTTTGACTTCTGTCTTGGTCACTTGTAGCTTTCAATTCACCGAAACGGCATCCAAGCACACGAAAACATCTTGATAGGTGGTGAGAGAGCTAAAACTCTTGACGAAACACCCGCTTGGCCCTGTCGTGCGGGGAAGTACCAAGACACTTTGGTAGATCTTCGGCAAGGTGAAGGATCGCAAGCCGCCCACCACGCAAATGGCAGTTCTCCCCGCCACTTCGAGGCGATCAGAGAAGTTTGTCGGGTCCACCTGGGGGAAACAAACTGTCTGATCATGTCTGATCGGCTCTAATGTGGATGGGTGATTGTTGAACATCTCAGGTAGTGCAGGACTTTGTCCTGAAACTGTTGAACAAATTTGGGGTCGGGTCTTACTGCAAGACCCCCATGTTTTGAGAGACACACGCACACACACACACATAATTTATCATATATAATTGAATTTTATTGATATAAATCAAAAGCAGAAGTCTAGCTAGTCTAGATTCAAGGATATGATAAATCGTTCTCTAAGGTTCTCATTCCAGCTCGGGACTAGGTATATACGTACATACAATTTGTGTGTGCGGATCCATTCATCCTGCTTGAAGATGCTTCTAAATTTGATTGCCAAATGAGCCATCGCAAGGATCCTGCAGTAGAACATGTTGTATCACACCTTCCAACAAGCCATCCTCAGCCGTGCAAGGGCCTGCAGCTTCGTCTGGTTCTGGTGGTTTGGTGTCTGGTGTGTCTGGTTGGGCAATGGTGGCGATGGCTCTGAATCCGCAGGACTGGACGATGTTGAGATGGATGATGTGGTGGAACGTGATGAGTTGGTCGATGCGGTGGGCTGAGTGGAGGTGCTGGCCTGGCAAATGACTCACAGAACATGTTCAGGAAAGAAACGTGTGGCTCAAAGCACGCAAATCTCAGTTGGTATAGAAACAAACTGATTGATGGTCATGATATTCGCATTCAGGCCATTGTCTCAAACAAAACCGGGTCATTTCTGCAGTCCACGAACGGAAAAGCACCTCTGCATCATCTACCAAGTGCACTCCTGCAATTTGTTGTCAGGAGAGCACACAGCCCTACAATACAGCAACTTCCGAACGGTTCATCAGTTCAGCCAGTCTGAAAAGGCAGTTGCTGTAAGTCCCAAAGCAAGTTTTTCTGCGTTTCTGAAACAGGCACGATGTAAAACTCTCTTTTTTCATACCGGTGTTCTGAACCTTGCGATTCGATATCTATTTGTTTACTGCCGGTCACTCTCCCAACAATGGCTGTTCACGAATGCTTTTACCCTTTTTCATCTGCGTTTTTTTAGATTTTTTAGTGTTCTGCCAGGATAATTCCAATTCTGCCTTCCATTTCACTTGGAACCTGTAATGTCGGTTGTGATTCATGTTTCGAGTTCTACCAAGGCCTGCCTCAGAACTAAAAGGTGTTACACAGCCTTAAGTTTCCAAAAAAACTAGGAACCAAATCATCAATGCGAAGCTCCCCCCGCAGGGAGTTTCCTTGAAGAAGCACGAACTATCCTGCGTCCTAAGTAGTAGGTACTTGCAGGTAGTAGTTGCCTCTCCCTTAATACTTAATTATATAAATAGGCGCCTAATACTTAATTAAGTAGGTGCCTACTTAATTAAGTAGGGAGGGGGAGAGCGGGCCAAAAAGAAGAACAAGATGGAACCCACGAACCCGAATGCAAGCACATACTCGAAAAATAAAGAGAGCTCGAAGTTATGCGGGTGTTGTTTTTACGCGTTTTTTGTGTTTTTCTTAGGCTTTGCAATGTTTTGAAAGAGTTTCCACGGCTGCGGTCTAGATATGTTCTTGTGCTCCTGTTTCCCAAACATAGGGGCTGCCAGCTGACCACCCTCCCTCCCACCCACCTCAAAATAATAAAATTTGTTTTTTAGGTGGGTGTACCCACCTGAGCATAGAATTATTATGGAGGTAATATAGTTCAGAAATAATAAAACACACAGCATGACAAGATGGGGGGGGGGTGGTATAGACCACCCACCTAAGTGGGTAGATATATGGGGACAGCTCCCAGGAAAGTGTGCAGTAACAGCAATCGTAGGTGGTTCAATCGCAACCACCTACAAATTAATAATCGCGCCCTCTTTCCTGCCATTCTCTCTCGGTTTCTCTGTGGTACCCTGAACGTCTGTCCAGTCTTTTTGCCTTGATGGGGCAGCCGATCCGGGAGAATTTATGGAAAATATTGAGGACAAGCAAGATCTCTGTCCCAGGCAGGTCAAACAATCGCCGTATTTCAGGGGTGGGGCTGGCCTAAGGGACCTCTGAAATAATTAGTAGATCGACTGATTGGCTGGAATGTGTGGATAGCGTGATATGGTCCATAAAATTATTTCAGGGGTGGGGTACCCCCTAAACGACCTGTTAAATAATAAATAAGGTGGGGGGAATGTTGCCAGTATTTGCCACTTATTCCATGGAAAATATGGAAAAGGTTGAAAACATTGAGGAGTTTAGTAGAAGGAACCAGTAAGGGGGGCAAGGCTTACCCCACAGACATCATTAACAATATTCAAGTAACTATTTATTTGGGGGGTAGATGACAGGTAGCCCACCTGCCAAATAATATTATGTTTGTGCTCGAATGGATGGATCCCAGATAAAGGTAGCCCCCTGATAGGATGGATCCCAGCGAGAATTTGATGAGAGTGTGAAGCCGGCTGCTTTGGCTACCAGAGTTTTGGATCAGGTGTGCCTTGGCTAGTTCAAACTGATTGCAGCGCGACAAACGATGACTTGGTGGCAGAGCATAGCTGATTGATGTGGGAGTCAGACGTTCACGGTCTGACAGAGAAACCGAGAGAGAATGGCAGAAAAGAGGGCGCGATTATTTTTTGTAGGTGGTTGGGCTTGCACCACCTACGTTTGCTGTTACTGAACACTTTCCTAGGAGCTGTCCCCATATATCTGCCCACTTAGGTGGGTGGTCTATACCACCTCCCCCCCTATCTTATCATGCTGTGTGGTTTATATTTTATATCTTGATTGTCTCAGCTCTGTGGACAGGCACATCAAATTATTTTTGCTCTGGCACACGTACCCCTCCACCTGCCAAATAATTTCCAATAAACCCTGCACCATACCTTCTTCCACGGGTTATTGTCATTCAGTGCTAAAAATTATTTGGAAACCATATATCAAAATAATATTTTGTTATTTTGCAACATGCCATACCATATTTTTCTACATGGTAGATATTATTTTGACCCACCACCTACATGCCTTTCCAAATAATACTTTATTGATATTATTCAAAAATTTATTTGGAGACGAGACGGTCACCTCAAAATAAATTCGCTCGGCAGGGGCTATTCCCAAACAAACCAACTTCTATTTTTTCAAACAACCTCAGGATCCCACTCTACCTTTCCTTGCCCATAAGAATTCTCATTGCTTCAAAGTTAGGTAGCACTTTTTGGGTTTCTCCCCCCACATTCTTTATGAAATGGAGAGAAGATCATTATCTTGAAACACCATGTGCCCACCAAGCCCAATAAAAGTTGAGAAACTTGCTTAGTAGTACTGCATGACAGTTTGGAATTGGTTTTTGCATGGCCGTCTTGACACCCATACCCATAATAAGCCTCATCCTCATTCTCAGGTCATGGGAACCATTCTGCGAGCATTGGGAGTTCACATCCTAGTGATTGGCGCTCATCTCCACTGCTCTCACCCAATGGCTCTTCAGGTCTATGCTCCATATCCCCCCATCTACGACGAAATCTTCCAAAGAACCTCATAAAGCCCATGGAACGATCCAGCCATAGATTCACTGAGAGTCTGATTTGGCTGTGTGGCCACTACTCATTCCCAAGCTCATGAAGAACCTTCTCTTTACCCCAACCTTCTTGCCCACACATAGACACATGAAGTCAGGTTGCACCAAACCTGGCATGCTCAGCGTGCTCCCAATATTCACCCAACATTCTGCGAAACAACCACAAACCACAAAAACGTGTAAAAACCACACCCGTATATCTTGGTTTTCCCAGACAATTTTTGACACTTTCTTGTAGGACTCTCTTGTGGGACACTCTTGTATGTCACTCTTGTGGGACGCTCTTGTAGAACACTCTCGTCGGACGCTCTTGTGGGACACTCTTGTGGGGCACTCTTCTTGGGAACTCGTAGAACGCTCTTGTGGGACACTCTTGCGGGGAACTCTTGTAGGGCACTCTTGTCGGACACTCTTGTGCGGCAATCTTGCGGAACACTCTTGTAGGACTCTCTTGTGGGACACTCTTGTGGGACACTCTTGTAGGACACTCTTGTGAGACACCCTTGTAGGAAACTCTTTTAGGACGTCTCTTATGGGACACTCTTGTCTTGTGGGACACTCTTGCGGAACATTCTTGCAGGACACTCTTGCGGGACACCCTTGTAGGACACTCTTGTAGGGCACTCTTGTTGGACACTCTCGTCGAACTCTCTTGTGGGACACTCTTGTTGGACTCTGTAGGGCAATTTGGCGGGGAAGCTCTTGTGGGACACCCTCGTGGGGCACTACTACCAAAGTTTCCATAAGTGAGCCGTCACGTCTCCAAAACTAGGGCTTCGCGCGCGTAAGTCTCCAAAACGAGCGTTTCGCACGAAACTTCCTCAAAAACTCACACTTCAAGTCTAAATGAGCGTTTCGTACGAGACTTCCTCCAAAATTCATGCGTCAAGTCTCCAAAACGAGGGTTTCGTACGAGACTTCCTGCAAAAGTCACACGTCAAAGTTTCCAAAACGAGAATTTCGTACGAGACTTCCTCCAGAAGTTTCATCCGAGCACACACATCAAGCAGCCCTGCCAAGCAGTTTCGCGATTTCAGCCCCTCCAAACAACACCCGCTCACACGCCAATCCCAATGTCACAGCAACATTCACCTCCACCACAACTCGCAATCTCACGATTCCCTGCACCTGCCACGAATCTTTCCGCGTCCACACCTCCAACACACACAAAGTACCGCGCCTGCCATGAAGTGTGACCTCCGCCACGCCTCACAACCTCACGGTTCCCTGCGCCTGCCACGAAAATTGCACTTCCATGCCTCAAAGCCCACACAAAGTACCGCGCATGCCACGAAAAGTGTCAATATCATATCACGTGAGCTTGAGCAAAATTTGCACCGCACCAGACGTTTGGAGTTTCCACATGTTCTGAGCACACTCCCATCCACCAAAATCGCAATTTCAGCTGAGACTGGTCACGAACACACAGCTTCGATGCAACACCTTGAAACGCAAATCCCAATGTCACAGCCACATCCAACACCCCAAAAACACCACTCTCCAAACGCCAATCCCAATGTGATTGCGCAGAAAACTCACCATCTCACAAAACGCTGCGCCTGCGCAGTGATTTCATCCTCCATACTTCATCCTCTCACGTTTCCACGCGTTTCCTCGCCAGAGTTAAACTAGAACCCTTCGCTACGCATTCGGGAATCAAATCCGTCTCCCAACTGGTCGCCTCTCAATAGATTCCTCGGGATCACTCTTTGGGATCCACCCAGCACCTGATTTCCCGAAAAACGACCCGGAGAGGAGAGGAACCTCGGGGTTCGATGGCACGCGAGAGGAGCCCGGTGAGACGCTCGGTCTTCCAAAAAAGGTCTTTCTTCAAGAAAAATCTCGATCAGGATTCACTTCTTCGGAAGAGCCCATTAGATCATTTCATGTCATTTCTCTCATCTGACTGTCTGTCCCTTCCAAACGAGCCGTATACAAATCGTTTGGCTGGCCAGGAGTGATTTGCTTCAAGGGACTGGACTGCGATGAATGACACATAAAAACATATACCGATATACCGCATCTTCCTTGGTATCTGTCTTTTGCGATTGTTTTGCAGAGAACATCCGTCTTAGGCAAGGGGGCAGAAATGTTAGCAGTACGGCACTTCTGGAGTATTAGAGAGAATGGTGGAACTGAATAACAGTGATTTTTCTCCTGCAAAACAATCAAAACGGCGTTTTGACGGTGCCAAAACGGCACAAAACGTGTCCATGGCCGTCCACTATTGCACTACTGAAGGTCCAAGATGTGGCAAGCAAACCCATGAAGCGCCGGGATTCTCAGAAAATGGTCTCAAACACATCAAAAGCAATCAGGCCACGGAATCAGTTGAGTTTGCAAAAACGACAACAATTCTACATACCCAGGGGTCCTATGTAGTATGTATAGAGTCCAAAGGAACATGAGCACACAAGCTGACCTCCTGTGGGATCTCCTGGGTCGAAGCAAAGCTTTGACTCAAAGACTCTCAAATTGGATGGGTGGGACTGTTCATTGGATTTGTTCATTGAATCCCCATGTATCCCCATGTATCCCCGCACTGTGCGTGCGATACTACAAGTGATACAACCTTGGAGCTGACTTCAAACAGTTTGACGAACTAGTCTGTCTTGTTTCTGTGCCAATCTTGCTGCATTGGCCCAATTCTGCTTCTCCTGGTCGGCCCAGAATCCGCACCCGCCTTGAAACAAATGCCACTGAAAGTAATCCATAACAGTACCACTGAACCTCAGAGATTCCAAGGAGTTCTTTCAGCCGTGTGATTCCAGGATTTGGCGGTATCATCTTATGGGACCGCCGAATCGAGCACAAGCACACCAAATCAAAGACCTGAGGCTATCTGCCTACAACTCAAGTAACCTTGAACCTGTTGACAACATAACCTCTCGGATGGGATACCCAAAAAACAGAATCAACTGAACCATCCGTCCAACGGCTATTGAAATTGTTGTCTTTCTTTTTGCCGGAGTTCGGGCAGATTGCCATTACGAGAGACAGTTCTTTCTTCGGCGGTCGGCTTTGGGCGTAAGGTCAAGCCCAATTGTGACCATGTAGCCAACACCTTTCTCCTGACCAACGAGCTGTGTCTACAAGGATCTTGTGATCATCCCTCTCCAAACCTCCTTGAGGCCTGTTGTGATGCATTCTCACAATGTATTGAGGCGCCATGGTTTGGAAAGTCCCAAGGAGATGAGAAGCGTTTAAGAATTGTCCATGGAGGATTGAGCTTGTGTACATGAGGCACTCCAGCACCATCAGGACCCCATGAGGGCTCAAAACAAAATGACGATCAATCAGACTATTGTATGTCATCTCTCCCAAATCCAACTTACTATTGAGATACCAACGACCTTCTAGCCTAGACTAGTGCCCTCAGTTGAATCGAAACAGATCTGAAGCGAAGCAACACCTGGTATAATGGTTGCCTGCCGTGCTCAGGGCCCTCACTCTTTAGGTGGGAAATGTGTTATAAGCATTATGATATATATATATTTTTTTTTTAATTTTTTTTTTTGCTCACAGAAGCCTACAGCACGAAGTAGTGATTGTCTTCCACATTCTTCCATCCATTGAGAGACACTGTCAGTGTGATCTGCGACTCAAAACACCAAGGCTCAGCCAAGCTGCACCTGGCAACGGCTCCAAGTCCCATGCCATTGGCCACGCAGGGTATTCAAACTTAAACCAGTAGCCTGTCGTAGTACGCTTCAACAGCACTGAGCCACTTAACTTCCAGAATAGTCACCCCTTGAGGCTAACTTGCTGGGTTTGGGTGTCAAGAGCGTTGACCCACAACCACAGCCAATGGATTCATACAGACTATATCAGGACCGCAGCAGGCAGATGTGCTTCGAAATTGCGGGCACTCCCGAAGGAGCATGAATAATAAGCAAGAGGCTTTGTACCTGGTCTCACCATCTACAAAGGAATGCGACCTCTAAGTGGAGCTGAATACTCCTGGCGCCAAACGCCAAATGGTGTTGAGACGAAGGTTGACAAGTAGCAACCTTGCTTAGCGATACCTCAGCTACAGTTACAGGGTGGTGTCACCGGGTGCCACCTTAGTTTTGAAGCAAAGCCTTGGATTGAGCCGATGTGGCTGCTGCACCAAGCTCAAAGACAGGCTTATCAAGAAGGATCTCCTACGCTTGTCTCAGGTCTGGCGCTGGCGTCGTGCTTGGAAGCTGGCAATGAATCAATCAATAGCGACGCCGTACGATGGAACTCTCCTGAAACATGGCCGATGCTTTATCTGCCAACCAATCACATCCGTATGCCACAAACAAGTGAAGAATGGGGCAAACATCTAATTGACAAACACTACTGCTTTATCAGTGCAGGTCTGGGAAGAAACACAAATCTGGGGAATTGAACGTCGCTGTGACTAACACTCCACACACTGGTTTCATTGCCACAAGTTTTGTAACGCACAAATCGTGCACCCCTAACCCCAAGGTGAGCTTCACACAAAAAACATAAACTATCAAAATTTGCAACTTTGCAGCTTGACAATGAGCCACTGCGGTGTGGCTCAAGACCAATCTGATTTTTGGAGAATGTCGACGGCAAAGGCGCAATCCTGTTTTGGTCACCTTCCAGCCAGCACAAGGAATCCGATTGGCAAAACCACAGGCTCCTGTTCATCAGCGCCAGTTTGGACCTCCAGGATGCCAGCGTAGCTTAATATATATAGCTCACGCCTATGCCTGAAAGCTCTGTGATCCTTGAGGTGGAAAGCATATCAGCTACTACTACTTTGGCACCCAACACCCTGTATGTCGTCATATCATGTCATCTCCAGTTCCTTGCGCACTTTTAGGGCGTGCAACATTTAAGTAACTTTGGCAGTTTAAGCAGGGTATTGCAAAGCTCCTGCAAAACACACAGTCTTGGTCTAAACCAAGTTTGATAGTTCAAATCTAGATTATAGCATGTTTATCCAACACAGTGTAAAGGAGAGGCCTTAATTCACAGCACCGTTTCACATCGCCCCAAAGGAAGGGAACCAACAGTGTGGATATCACAGAAATGCCTAAGCAAGTTCAGAGATGCGAGCTTAGCCATCAGAGTTTCCACCAGTCAGTTTCAAACCAACAAACTTCATAGGAATCAGTTGTTCAGGGTTCTTCCAACATCAAAGCCTCCAGACTAACGAAGGTGCATCCCTTCGCACCAGTTTTCCAGGATGCAACTACATTGCTAACCTGAATCCGGTGTTGGCAATTTTCAGCCCCAGCGAGAAATTGCCCTCCGGAAAGCATCCACTTTGAGCCTCTAAACGGGAAGGGCCATATTATGACCCTGGACACACGGAGGGGCGACCTTATCCAACCAAGCGATGTCTTGTCAGATCAGCGCGGGCTTCGCCCATGGTTGGTTTGCCAAAAACTTTGACCGTTCACCTCAATCCTCATCAGCTTTGCCGAGGTTAAGGTTCGGCCCTGTGCCATTGGGGTTCATTGGGATCCAGCAAGCCGGCAAACAATCACAGCCTCATAGCTTCACAGTTCTGCACCAACGTTTGACCAATATAGACAAATGATTAAAATGAAGTTTGGGCAAAAGAGGTTTTAAACAATCACCCCACTTGAATCTGTTTTTGAGCTACATGTTGAACGCTTCGGGGTAGCACCTTCCTCTGGATAAGAATGGGTACAACTACTGTAATGTGCTAGCATCCATCAAAATGTGCTCCTCGATGCTATTCCATGTTTGCACCGTCCTGACGACTCACAAGTTGTGTTCCGTCATATCTTCGTGTAAGGATCTCGTCTCGTCGAGTTGTGACGTCGGTTTGCTTGCTCCACCTCATTATTAATCGGCGGTCCTGAAACGTCTCTATATTAGCCTTAAGCCTTGCAGATCTAATATCAATACCCGACAAGTGGAGCAACCCAAATAAGGTGAACCTGGGGGGGAAAGAATTGACAGTTTCCTAACCTAGGACGACAAAATTGCAAAGACTTGTGAACATTGAGCCAAGATCTAACGAAATGCGAAGCAAGTAAGGGTGGTTATTGCCCCATGTTTCCTCACCTGTTAAATGATTGCCTCTAGATTCCACATCAGTGTTTCTTCCCGCCGCCTCGTCCTGCTACGCCACCTCCTCGGCCTCCTCCGCCCTCTCCTCCAACTTGTCGGGGCTGACTTCGGTTTGCTACTCTCCGGACTTGTGGCGGTTGCGGCGTGGTACACCCATATCAGAACAAATGTCGCAACACTTGTCAGGTCAAACATGATACCAGAACACAATTTCAGAATACGGGACACAACACGTGCCAGGAGACATATCAAGAACAAATGTCGGAGCATATGTCAGAAACATGCCGGAACTAATGGCAGAACAAGTGTCAGAATACATGACAGAACAGAAGCCGGGCCACGTGTACAAGAAAAACAAACGCCAGATTGTCAGATTAAATGCAAGAGCACATGTCAGGAGCACATGCCAGAAAATATGTCAGAACACCTTCCTGAATGCCAGAATTGTTGCCAGAGCAAATGTCAGAATAATGTCAGCAGCGTTTGTCAGGATAGCTTGCCATTACTGCCTTCTTCATAAGCGCCTCTCAGGGTGGGGATCATTCGAAGCAATTAAAGTTTACTTGCTGGATGGGTCTAGTAAACACATGTAAACAAATGTCCAAAATCCAAGTAAAAATGTATGTGTATATATATATACATGACTATGTATCTATGTATCTATGTATATGTATGTATGTATGTACGTACAAGTATGCACATTACACTATTGTTTGGTGTAGCAGCGTAGCAATGCTAAGACTGCCCAAGTGCTTTGTTTCCTCAACTCGTCAACGAATTGCCAGTGATCCCCCGCCGAAACGGATACAGTAGGCTTTGACCTTGCTGCGAGACACACCTAGGTTCTGTGAGGAACAAATTCCTCAAAAAATTGCGGCCGCCACTCCAGCTTCATGCCGAGCATGCAAATGCTGATGTCCCCTCACAAGAAAGCGGTGAGTGGAGAGATTTGGGGCAGACTCTCATGGTCAAAACCTGAATCAAATGAGGTATCCCGCACCTGCAGCTTCTTGGTCAAGAAAGACACGATGCATATTATGCATATTGCATCATCAATGTGTTTTATCAAACCATGCAAAATTAGAATATGCCCAAAGATGCCCAAAAGCTTGCAAAAACTTAACTGAACCACAACTGCCCAATACGGCTCACCAAACGGCAACGAAGCAGAGCAGCCGAAACTCTAGACAGCCAGGGCATCAGGGTCGCCCAAGGTGTCTTCATGAGCAAAACAACTGTTCTGATCCTTCTGTGCATAGATTCTGGAGCGGAGGTCTTTTGGTTTCTTGGTCCAAAAATAGACCTGAGGGCGCTCATAGTTCCATCAACTTCAGGTGCTATGATAATAATAGTGGCGCTAATTCAAGGACGCTCCAAGACAAAAACCTGCTGGGCTTGACTTCGGGCGAAATTGAAGTGAACACCTTGATTCTGCATGTCCTTCCCAAATCATTGTCCACGACAATACAATGTCGGTGAATCCCAAAGAAACGGAATGATGTGAACAACATAATGATACGTAGATTATAAAAATATGATTGTAACAGGACCTGGACCCACAGGACACCCGATAAATATGATTGTAGCATATTGTAATACCACACGGTGATTGAACTTTCTTTGAGCTGCATGGCACAACATATTTTTTCGACCCCGCTCCAAGCAGCTCAAATCGCCTAAGTCCTACGTTGTTACGTCAAGGTTGTCAACTGCGGCTGAGCGAAACAAATCACAAATACACCACGAAGGCAGCACAAACGAAGGAAGATGAAGGAAGTTCAAACGTGCTTGTCTTCAAACAAAACTCTTCAAGCCACATGTCTGAAGGCTTGTGATGCCTACAGGACTTTACTAGAACCCGTTGCGGTTGAAAAGTCAATGATTGGTTGGTTGGTTACTCTTTGCGTAAACTTTGCTACAATAGCCAGTTATATACATAATGGTAAAGGCCCCTTTTTGAGAAAGGTGTTGCTCCATTCTGCATGCATCTACAGTCCTTGCATCATCGTGCATCCCTTCATTGTCAAAAACGGAATGCTGAAATACATTTCGGGAAACATATGATGAAGAAAAACGCACACTCTCTGCATCACTGCACTTCCGCTCACCCGGCTCCACCCGGTTCCACCCGGCTCCCTCCAAATCAGCAGATGCGGCACCCTGGCGGACCGTCGAACGAACCAACCCGTCCGGCTGGACATCCTGGCTGCCGGCACCGGAAGACCCGTAAGATTACCGTAAGATCCTCAAATCATCTCAACACCAAACAAAAGATTTGATGTACTCTCCAGGGGTATGTGATGCTGGCGATCATTCACCCTCTGAGGCTGACGTGAGCCGCTTGAAATGGATCTTTATATCGCAATTCCACTGCAGGTGTTTCTCAAATGCGGCATGATGTGGCATTGCAACACGTTCCGTTTTATGACTAGAATTCTTCAACGGCCTCTTTGCGGGGCAGGTGTGGAATGTTTGCTGTGCCAGGTCACTCTTCCCAGCCCATGAACCCTTTCTTCAGCTGTTTGCTTTGAGAGTTGCTGGCCTCAGCAGCAGCTCGAACGTTGCTTACGCGTTCCTGGCAAAGATCACCCGGTGCTGTGAGTTCTGAAGTTCTGACTCCTCGGCTGCCTCACAATTGCAAAAGAACTCCGCTACTCAAGCCTGACACCAATTCGGGGTTGGCTACTATGCTCCTGTCAAGTGGCTCAAGCATGCTCAAGCATGTCAAACTTCAATACTTCTGATCAAGTTGACTCAGAAGGGGAGCAACCAGCCAGCACCGTGTCTCTTGTCATCTCAAACACCCTTGAGGGCAACAGTCTGTTTGCCAATTTGCCAATTGTCTGTCTCTTAAGTCTCCTTGACAGGTCAAAGAACCTTGGAGGACCCTTGCCCGACGACAGCCCCCCAGTCTGGCCGCATTTCCCGGTGATGCTGACCACCATTGTTCGGAGCCCAAGCAAGTGTCTTGTGAGGCGGTCCGCACAGCGAAAGGTTCACGAATTCACCACCTTCTTCGATCCACATCATCCACCCGTTCGTGGAAACACACTGGAGTCCCTTGCCGAGGAACGAGGTTCTGGTGGTGGGATGTTGCCGCGCCGCTTCTCCAGGGAGTTCTGAGCACCATGCCCATAAAAGCCTCCTGTGCAGCGTGCGGCTCCACTCTGAGAATCTGTGTTTCTTCCAGCAAGGCCTCACTTGCTAATTTCCGCAACTTTATGCCAGTTGCCTATGATTGAACGAAACATAAGGAAACCAAACCAACTGTCACCTGACCTGTTGTTTGCCAAATTATTTTTTATGCAGTTCTTCTTTCAGCGCACACACTGTGAACCGGCCCCTGATTTTAACATTGTTTAAAGTGTGACTTTACACGGAATCGGAAGACAATCTGGGCTGTGCAGCAATGCACCAAGCGATATTGATACGGTTCGACAGATGAAGCGATACATGAATTAAGCTTGGATTCAGACTGGGCGGGGGGAGGGGGCGACGGTCAACCCTGAGAAGCGATGCTCTCATTGCACATGGTTTCACAGGAGTTTGGACAGTCGCACAAGTCTGCAGCAATTCGGGCTGGAAACTGAATAGCTCCATGAAGGAGTAATGTCTAGAAACATGTGGTTTCTGTTTGTTTAATGTTGTTGAAGAGACTTTATCACAGTGTTATTATGTGTTTATATTGCCAACAAAAGCCTTTACTTTTCCCGTCCCTTGCGGGACGCTTTGTTTTGCTCTATGCGCTGATGGACTCGTGCCCTCTACGACACTCATGTCTAGACACCTGATTGTGCACCTTGCGAGATTATCAATAGATATCAATAGTTTTCTCGTTTCTCTTTCGGGAAGGCCACAGAGGCAAGCGCACACGATGTCAATAACGCATTGTCACTTGGGCAGCATAGTTGACATCGCCAATGTTTCCGCATGCTTTTCGTCGGTTTTAGAAGGCATCAAAAACGCAGCCCTCAAGCTAAAGCTTACTGAGCTATCTAGCAATTATAGCGGCTTACGCGAACTGAGACAACGCCTCAGCACCTTCGGTGCGGGCGGATTTTGTTGCACCTGCAGAAATCTACCCGCAGCCGCACCCCCTAAAATCTACGCTCTCTTGGGTTCACTAAACCAGTGAACAGCGTTTCTCCACCAGCGAACAGCCAGCATGACTCCATGGCCCAGTTTTTGCCGGATTGTCCGAAGGGAAGCAAACTGAAAGACCTTAACGCACTGGAAGTCGGACCCCCTTGAGGAAGACAGTGTCAATTAGTCAATTCCCCTCGTAATTCTCATAGGGGATCGTGAGCCCTGCGGGGTCGTTCTAAGTCAACAAAGCCTATAACAAAGCCTGAGGTACGCCGAACGTGGACCTTTTTGTGTTGTATTCACACCGCTTCGCAGCGAAGACCACATGCACGATACTTGTACTTGTGCTCTCTGAGCCGGGAAAGAAGGATGCAGGGCAGGGTCAGAAGAAGTGTTGCACGACAGCAACTTGGCGATTGATGCGTCCCCCTATTACCCGACGTTGCGTATTAGATAATGACTACGCTGGTACCTATCTTAGGCGTGTTGTACTAAATCAGCCTCAGCAGGAAAATCCGCAGGTACAAACACGCACACGCTTTCAATGATGATATTCCATTCGGGGTACTGTGGGTTAGCTAGGTAGGTACATAGCTAGTAGAAGCTAGGGAGTCGCTGGTACCTTACTTAAGCTACTAGTATGAACGCAGGATAGCGAAGAACTATTCATTTGGTTCCTAGATTTTTAGGGAAACTTAACCTCGTGTTTCGTGCCTCTGGGAAATTCCAGGAATGCATTCGACTCCAATCGTTACTGTATAATCGTTACTGGAGACCCCTGAAGATTCCTTCACACAACAGTGACCCGAGAGCTCACAGTGAGCACGGTGTCCCTAGACCACTGATAAGTCCCTGGAAGAACGATCAACTGCGTGTTTTGGTGCTCAGCATGTGCAATTCAGATTGAACCTCTCAGGGAGTTGACGAGGGTTTGCTGTTCCGCTGGGCTTGTCTAACAGCTCCATCTGCAAGCCAAGAGGTGACTGTCATACATTGGCCAACAAAAACAAAGCTATCCCTGCAAAAAGGCAACAGATTTTGTTGATCTCATGACTTTCTGACTTATGATCAAAAGCCTGGTGATGGAACATGATGGAACTGGTAGATCCTGCTATGCGCAACTACTACAAAGGGAAATTCATGCAAGCTGCCTTGATGCGGCGGATACAAATGAGCCGCCTCGGCCGCTCTTTACCTTTACCTTTACCATTGGAGCGACTGCGAGGCCCCGGTCTGAATGCAGGCTGGTCCTTGAAGTTGAAACTCCAAAGCAAAGGATGGTCTTTAACTTGAACAACTTATAGATATATAGTAACAATAATAATGATCATAACAATTAATATAAACGTATATAAACATATTTGTATGCAAATATATATATATATATATATTATATAATTTCTGTATATATATAGTTATATGCCACTGAAAAGAACAACAACGACACGCTCTCCTGTTCTGCTTTTTTTTTGGTGCTCCTGCCTGGAGAGTATCCTGGAAGCACAACACTATAGCCTGAAGTCTTTGGAGAGCTTCACAACAAAACGGTGGATTCGGATGCATGGCCGTGTTGTGGATCAAGCAAAGCAAGCCAACACTCTCACACACTCAAACATCGGCAAAACAAGAAGTCTGACATTGGCAGCACTTTGTTGAGTGTCCACCCAAATTGAAGCAACGTTACGAACCAACGCAAGCTTTTCCAAGAACCTAGTTGTCAAGGATTCAAAGTCCTTAAAGCCGTTTCTTGTGAAACAATCTAAAGGCTGAACTCTTTGTGTTGTCTCGTTAATCTTGGCCCCGTACATTCTCTCCTTACGTAGTGAGCAGCGAGCCTTGGATTTGTGCTTTGTCAACTGCTCCTTGGCTCCTACCTTACAACCCGAATCTGTATACTGTGCATACCTGATTCTACTGGCTTGGGTTCCCAGGTTGAACAAGTTATGAGGAAATCTGAAACCGTGCTTGAACAGTTTCCATTCAAAAACTCATATGATGCGCATGATGTTGTTAGCATCTTCTGCATAACCAACTAAAGAATTTGCACCTTCATAAATTCAGATAAGACGGCATCAACAAAAAAGTAAAACATTAGCAAGAAAACGATGAAGCATCCTCAACAAGCCCCTCTCTTGTCTTTTTGAAATTGGATTGTCTGTTGCCTTGTGTTGCACTGTCTTTACACCTAATCAGCTCCCACTTCGACCAGCACCGCAGTCTCACCGACACCATGCCACCCGTTTGCGGTGCCCTTCAGGGGAAACTGTGCCCAGGAACTCATCCAAAAGCTGTGACGCATACGGGTGCATCCCCTTCATCCCTGGCGGTTCGCGACGCGTCGTGGGTGAACGGGTGAAAGACTTATGTTTGTTTATGTGGATGCGGCATGAATCAACCACTGGCTAGCAAGCGGTTAGTTTGCTGGACACAATGCTCTAACTACGGAATGACATCACAACGGCCAGTCTTTCTGAGTGTGACAGAATGAGTGGAATAGGCGGACACGATGAACATCCATGTTCTAGAATTGGGAGAGCGCATGGAATATGAATGGAATCCCTGCAGTGTAGTCCAAGAGTCCACCACAGAGTCCTTGGAAGTTCCTGTGTGGCTTCTGAATTCTGCTTTGGTCAAAAATCCTTCAGGCTCCACCCTCAGGATTTGGTGGGGTCATGAGCATGGTGAACGCGGGGACAGCGTTGGTCCAAACTGAAAACAACCTAATGTGGACACTGAAACCTGGAGGACAATTCTCTTCCATGATGACTTTTAGTTGGGAGGTCCGACCGCATTGGCCTCCGAAGTAGGTTCTGGCACTTTGTCCTGTGAGTCGCAGGTCTTGGTTCACCAAAGCGGTGAACACTCTGGGCACGAGGGCAAACTCAGGTAAGCACGCACTGTGTGTGTAGATATAATATATATATATGGAGTCTGTACAATATACTGTCAGTGTGTATAGAAGAGACAGCCTAACATGATGTTGGAATTATCCAAAGAAACCAAACAGTTGCAAAAAGTTCATACCATCGTTACTCAGCACCCGAAACAATGTACTGAGCAAGCGCTGAGGCTTCTGAACTGTGTTTCTTCGACGACCACATACTGCAGGTGTCTACAAACAAACTCTGCAAGTAAGTACAGATTCTAGATCCATTGTGATGACAATCAGCCCCTCCTGGAAAAGGCAATGAACTGCCTGGCTGGTAGCACTGCATGGCGTGACCAGCCTGTCCACGCGTGAATATCAAGCTGTTGCCAGCCATTTTCCACATGTTTTTTCCACCTACGGCAAGGAAAACACCGAAATCAAACCACCAATCTTATAACAAACCGTTGTCAAGCAACCTCAAATAAACAACCCCAAATCTTCAAAGGTAGAAAGAAACAGAAACTGTTTGACACTTTGCATTTTCCATCCAGTCAGCACTGGTGAGAGGCTGGTTCCAAAGCAAACAGAAGCCCCTGCCTCCTTTCTGCTTAGTTCAACACCAGCACGTATTTCGTACACAGGTAGAATAGAAACATTCCACATGATCACAATTGTTTAAGAATCATCATGGCTGTATCGAATTCTTGTGTCAACTGCAGGGCCTCTACTGCGAGGCTTGAACAAACAGGGACTCCTTCTTGTTTGGACAAGGTGTGGGCTTCTCTGATTTTGCAACGAAGCGAACTACTGATTCCAGAAACGAACTCGGACGAGCTCCTTTGCTGTCTCGCACTCCAATGCAAAACACTTGCTGCAATTCTGCGGCATGAGACATACATAGAATGCAAGCCTCCAACCATGCTCGGGTCTGCCAACACCAACTAAGAATTATATACAAAGACTTGACTGACTCTTAATACACCCCATCTTTATTGGGTCCAAAAAGATAACTGTACTTCAATTGACCCCTACAGTGCGATTTCAATCAGCTGCTTTCATGCCATGGTGAGGAGCATGTTGCCATGGTCACGGGCTTTGTGGTTTTCGATTTTGCTTGCGGGTCCTCGGGTTCGGGGTTGTTTGTGATTGTTTTGTACTTGCGTTTGTGATTGTGCTTGTGGATGTGATTATGGTTGTGTTTGTGGTGGTGTGATTGTGGTTCTGTTTATGATTCTGTGTTTGTGATTGTGTGGTTGTGGTGTTGTTTCTGGTTGTGTTTATGATTATGTGCTTGTGACTGTGTGCTTGTGGCTGTGTATTTGTGATTGTGTTTGTGGCTGCATGTTGCTGATCTTGTGTTGTGTGTTGAGTGTTGAGGTCCGAGACTGCCCACTGAGAAATCTGGCGCTTTCGGTTGAGGTCCGGTAGTGCCCACTGGGATCTGGCACTTGTTGTTGAGGTCCGCAGTGGGCGAGGAGAAGACGGAGGAGGAGTTGGAAGGAGAAGATCTCTGATAAAATCTAACAACCCTCACCTGGCAGGTGGGGACAAAAAGGTTACTGCGTCCTTCCACCTTCAAAGCTTTCAGCACTATATTCGATTCCAAAGATCTAGATCCATCTGATGCTCACCAATCGCTGCAACTTGGAGTAACAGTAATAAACAACTGGAACTGGACCCACATGTTGCTTGACCGCCTCTTTTTGACCACCAACAAAAAAAAGCCAACTTCAGCTGCCGGTGGCTTCTAGGCAGCCCGGCACGTGGAGATGGACTAAGAGGGCTTTGCGTCACAAGGCCTGGGCGACCGAGTGAGTCCTGCTGTGCTTGGATAGTACTCCTGAGATGAAGAGCGGTGTATATAGGATAGACCGTCAGACAGGCGTACAGGTCATTTGGGTCCTGCTCCAAAGAAGTGGTGCAACGTCATCTGGAGGATTGAAGCCGGTTTCGATCCGTTTCGCTCCCTTCGAGGGCTCCACTTGGCTGCATCCTGCACCGGCGCGGCGCGTGGCTTCCGGTCAAGCTTTGAGGGTCCTTTTTCTGCCTTGACATCGGCTTCACACAATGCAGAATGGTGCTGAACCCATCTGAACACATCTGAACCGAAGATTTGTTGTCGTTCCATTAGAACGTTCCAAGTGGAGCCTTTTCTCACCAAGCAAATAATACCATTCGGCCATTCGGAAATGACTTGGCTGGTAAGGTTTCGAGAGTGGGTGACAGCAGCCGGATGTAGCCATGTAGCCCCAAAGTGGTGGGAAGGGACTGCGGCCGCCAGTGACAATCCCTTTGAAAAGGAAACGTCTTCAAACACGGAGCGCATGATCAAAAGATGTCGTGGCTTCTCTACTGAAACGAAGTGTTATGTTTTTTCCGAGGAATAATGGGGAATATGAACGAGTGTCTCAGTGTCACTATAGTTGCTAGGTCAAACCCAAAAACAATCGAACAGGTCGAGTCTCTTGCCTTCAGTGGGCCTCCGTGTTTCCAAGATGGGCACTGATATCGGGCCAGAATTCAGCGGGCGGACCGAACATGGACAGGTCTTCCTCTGAATGGAGAGTTTCGTGCAGACCAAGGCAATTGGAGCAGGCCACGTTGGCATACCAAATGCAAATGACGAGGTCAATAAACAAAGAAAACATAGAAGAAGTAGTAGAAGTAGAAGTAGAAACATAAATTTAACAAAACACGGACACAAAAAAGAAGGAGAAACACAGCAGAACAAGGAACAAGGATGATAACAAAAACAACAACTGTTACTACTCCAACTATAAGGGCTCCTGGACCAAGGTCGTGTGCAAAACAGACGTCTTTAATCCCGATCCCGACTATTCAAACAGCAAAAGCTTAAGAAGAATCCATATATCAGCCACGGTGGATGCTTTCTGCAGATTTAAGAGTTCTTCAAGCCTCATGCATCAACCTTCCGCTTATCGTGGAAAAATGGATATAAACATTTTTCAGGCAAACAGCGTGTTGGCAAAACCTCATTAAAGGCGTGTTTGTCATACATCTCTGGCCAGCTAGACCTTAAATGTTCTGCTCTAATTCCGAAACAAATCAGCGAAGGGTAGCGGTTACCAAAACCGCCTGTTCAAAACATTGCAAACTGCCAATGATAACCAGGCTTGCTCATCATGTCGGAAGCCATCAGACTTGCAGCCAATGATTTTAATGTTCACCATCCAGGTTTGAGGATTCTGCAGCTTCTGTTCAGCTGCCATGAAACAGCCCTCAGGTGGCACGTGAAGTCAGCCGGCCTGTGGCAAATCAAAGTCAGCTCCCCTGCTGGTCTTTGTGGTTTTGGGGGGTCAATGTAGGGAAATATTCCATACACGGAGTGCTGGGATATGTATTAAATATACATGTATATAGTTATATAGTTATATATATATATGTATCATATATATATTCAACACAAATGCTTGTCAGAAACCAAAACGACCGCGCGAACAAA